TGGGATGAATCAGGACAAAATAGACATGCGTGATAGCATGTGGAGGAGTATAGCAGATAGGCTAGCAAGGCTACGATCAGAAAATGACGTTCAAAATCCTACCGCCAGTTGGTCATCTGAGCAAGACGTTGCAACCCTGCTCCAATTATTAGCCAAGTATTTGAACTATTGTCATGAATGATCTCAAATTCAGCCACATAATTCAGATCTTGTGCTGTCAAAGCTAAGTAGATGGACGAGTCAATGTTGAACATCAAGGGATGCATAACAAGACTGCATAGTCTAGAAATTAGAAAATGAAACAAACACTGCCATATAAAAGTATGACCGTCACACTCCTTATTGGATTCTTTACATTTTTGAAGAAGATCATAACCAGCAAAGACAACTTCAAGTGTGCCTTCTGTACTCCCTGCACTCATGCAAAAAGGTTCAATTCCCTAACCTTGTATGCTTTGTTTAAATGAATTCCAAGTTTCCTATGCTTCTGGAAGATCCATTTTGTTATAGGCAACTATGTAAGGTTTCTTAACAAGTTCAGGACTAAACATTTCCAGCTTAAGACATACAGCATCAAACACAGATTCTGGCTGCTGAGGGTAACCATCAACAACATGTATCTACAAAACAGAAAACATATATCAGATTAAGGTCAGCACTCGGTTATAGCTTGAGTTAGATTTTTTCCTATTACCTTCTCTCAATAAGACAACAAAAAATAAAATCAACACCCATTACAAGTGGATTACAACAAGGTTGAAGGAAAAAATTGCATTTCAAATTGACTGATAATAAGCCTTAGAAGATGAAATTTAATTAGTTGAATTAGATTACATCACATTTATATTCTCATTTGAATGCACAAAAATCATTATTCTTCAAGTAAACCAGGTAGACCAGCTACAACCATAGTGGAATCATAATCAAACGAAACTACACCCAGTAGAGTACTCTTTCCAGCACTAGGGGCACCCACCATACAAACATGGCAACCAGCTTTAGCACTTATCCAATTCCAACCACCTGACCAAGAATACCATTGTTCATAGTGCGTACAATAGAAGAAAAGAGTGGTGATCCGCGAACAGCGAGAGCATTAACATAATGAATAGAACTTTTACATGAATGGGAGATTTAAAGTTTGAACTTTATTAAACGTTGTCTCTGATACATGCACCAAACCTATAGGTCATATTACTCAGGGAAGAGAAACAAGACAACATTGGCTTCAGTTACAGCTATCATTTACATACCACATAAGGGCAATATAAAAGAAGGGAATAGGTCAACAATTTTATCCCGAGATAGAAAAGGACTTACATTTCCGGACCATTTTTGCCATACTCAGCCAACCTGGGGACCTTATTGATGCCAGACTTAAATGAGGCGTTCCCTCGGCCACCTCTCCCACCAGGAAGTAGCAGTGTCCCCTGTCCAGGATACAACAGCGCCAACAAGACCTCCTCCCTTCCCTGCCTCTCTGATCACAGTCCTGGGCGCCACCTTCACCACCATGTCCTCTCTCTTGGCCGTGCCCCCCTCTCCCCGCCCTAAAATGCACCCCATTCCAAAAAGGCAACAGAGAATTCATAGCTGCATCCACCTCCACATAAACATTCCCTCCCCTCCTGGAAAGAGGAGCAGAGGACGAGAGGCGTTTATACTTGGCAGTCCTTTTAGGCCTAAACTTGGAGTCGGGGGCTCACCTCGGGGAATGCATCTGGGCTCTGAAGCAAGCAAAGCAGGTCTTGGGTATGGATATAGAGATGGAAGCCATTTTCGTTCCGAGTGAGAAAGGACAGTGGCAAATGCCAGAGGCTTCTGACGGGTTTCACGGTGTTCTACGGTGTCGTTCGCTTAGATATCGTGGAACTACTGTAGCAGTGTTTTCATCCGTCAAAATGAAAATAGGTAAATAAGGGCACTAGATTGGATGCAATTTCCAACTATGAGCACAAAATTAAAAATTTTTATTCAAGGACAAAGAGAGAGAAAGGAGGTAGATTAGAGGGAAAAAGGAGGTTATACTGAAAGAGATTATTGTGATTTTTTATTTTATTTTATGTTACTTTTATTGTTTTTGAATGAAATAAAGGACTCAAATGTAAGAAATCAGAAATTATGATATTGAATTGCAAATTTTTTTTTTTAAGTTTAGATACCAAATTAAAAGTAGAAAAGTTAAATTAGGGATCAAATTAAAAAATAAGAAGTATAAGAACTAAAGTGTGAATTTGATGCAAATAGGTGGACCAAAATTGCAAGCAAGATAAAATCCTTCCGTTGAAAGTAACTACCACGTGGATAAGAACACAATAGATGAACCTCACGTTTTAATTATTTTAGTGGTAATTTGTTTTTAATTAAAGTGATAAATCTTAAATTTGAGTTAGATGATATGTAATTAGAGTAGATTAAATAATTAAAAATAATTGATTTTTATTGTATAATTTAAAATAAAAAATTTAATAAAGGGACCAAAGCAAATTGTCAAATACTTATCTTTTATGTCCAATTCCATTTTTTTTTGGTTATTCTCACCGTCACTAGAATTTTTTCATCCTTCTGTAACTCTACGCACTGTCGATCCTTTTCTGATGTCCATATAATATGATTATAATTTTAAATTTTTAGTTTTAATTTTTATAAATTTTATAAATTTAAACAAAAAAACTTCCTTACTTTCATCTATTTTTGTAACATAGTATTACTATTATTAGAATAATAAGAAATAAATAGTTTTAATATTATTAAATAAATTTATATATTTTGTTATAAAAAGGTTTTGTTTTATAAAGTGAATTGTATGTTAAAAAGAAAGTGCACTTTATGAATTTATTAGAATATTTTTAATAAAATATTTTTATATTATTTTATTAAAAATATTTTAATAAATTCATAATACAAATTATAGTTTTAATATACAGTTTAAATTGAAGTATATAAATTTTTTTATTAGTGTTAAAATTAATTTTAAATAATTGGAAGGAGGATTTCTAGAATTCAGAAATGAACTCCTACAACAAGAAGCAATTAGCTTCTAGCTTCTGGTAATTTAACTAATTTTATGAATTATAGTTGTGTTCTTTACAATTATGTCAGTATTATTTAAAAACTATCTGTTGCACATGGAGCTAAGATCCATACTAGTTAGATTCTTTCTCATTGCAAAACATGTTGTTGTGAAGCGGAGAGCTGCATTACAGTAACAGCACAGGGGAATTTCGTTTTTGGTTGTGAAGTGGAAAGTTGTAAAAGATGATCCTCATCCAATAAGTTAGGCAATGGCTCGCGAATGGTAGAAAAGTAGTTTCACCATGGGAAACTCATTCTGGTATGCTTTCTAGATTTTTATGACTCTTAATTACCATTTGAATATGAGTGAGGTCTTACAGTAAAACTTGCTTCTTTTGAAATGTTTTTGATAATACAAGATGTTCTTGGAGGTGCTCAATTTTGGTCAATTGGAAACATATCTTGTATCTCTATTGTGTTCATAGAAGAAAAACTATTGCAGGTAAGAAATTGAGCCGAATTTTGTACAAGTTATAATTTTTTTTAAAGGCATATGCCCTTTCAATTCCTCAACATCAGCTGCATTGTATGTACAGATTTGATTTCTTGTATATGACTGCTCGCTAGTTTC